GTTGAATACGCTTCAGGTTGAGCGCTTTTGGGTTGCGCTCCGCAGAGACCTGGAAGTAACGGAGTGTGTTACTTTCGGGTTTTGCCACTTGCGCATGCGCAGACGCTCAAATGACATCATGCACATGTGCAGAAGTGGTGAATCATGACCCACACATGCACAGATGCGGGTTGCATTCGCTTCAGGATGCGAACGGGGCTCCGGAACGGATCCCGTTCGCATCCTGAGGTTCCACTGTATTGACTTGATCTTGTAAAACCTATGGACTGAAAACAAATACTCTTGAGAAATGCATACCATTCATGTCTTAGATAAAGTATGAGGAACTTCAGGCCTGGGGGACAACTGTGACCCCCACCCCAAGCTCTCAGTCTGGCCCTTGGGTCTCTTCCTCAGGCCACACCCCTCATTGACTCTGCTTTGCACCTCAACCATTCTTTCTTGTCTGGAATGGGTTCTTGAACCCTGATGATGCCCCTTGCTTACCTTTATGGAGGATAGAGGAAGGTGTGTGAGAATGTGTGTAGAAAGCAGACAATAGTACAAAGGTGAAATGTAGAATCATAGAATTGTAGAGTCAGAACGGTCATCTAGTCCAACCCTCTGCAATGCAGGAATTCCGACCAAAGTATCCATGGCAGATGGCCATCTAAGGATTAAGATTGCTTAGTTAAGGAATGGCAACAAATTAAATTAGAAAGTGTAGAGCATGGGTAGGCAAACTAAGGCCCGGGGGCTGGATCCGGCCCAATCGCCTTCTAAATCTGGCCAGTGAACGGTTCGGGAATCAGTGTGTTTTTACATGAGTAGAATGTGTCCTTTTATTTAAAATGCATCTCTGGTTTATTTGTGGGGCCTGCCTGGTGTTTTTACATGAGTAGAATGTGTCCTTTTATTTAAAATGAATCTCTGGGTTATTTGTGGGGCATAGGAATTTCTTCATATTTTGTTTTTCAAAATATAGTCCGGCCCCCCACAAGGTCTGAGGGACAGTGGACTGGCCCCCTGCTGAAAAAGTTTGCTTGCTTCTGGCATAGAAGGATTCCCCCTGGAAACGCACATAGCTTTGTCAATTCCAGATGGCGGCCACTTCAGTTAGTTAAGATAGAACACAGAGTGCTCACGCAGTGTTCACACCCCAAGAAGGCAGGTTGCTCCAATTTTCTATTGAGCTTATCTGCATAGAACTGGCTTTTCAAAAGTGGCTGAGATAGGCAAGCTACCTGCCTTGCACAAAGAAGCTTTGCACAGGCTCTGCTGCGAGCCCTTTGTGCACCAGCAGGATGCTTTGCACCAGAGGAACGAAAGGAAAGAGAACTCCGAGAGATCCAGGTTAACAAACAGCTTTATTGGTCATTTTACAAAAGGATTCATTAGCTACCAAAGAAACACCTGCTGTCCTCTGCCATGTGGCCAGCAGGACTGAGCACCTGGGCAATATCTGAGCATGTGCTTGGTGGGATGGGCTGCTCTCATTGCCCACCCTTAGCAGGATGGCGGAAGGCAAAGCCCCTTCCCCGCTGCCTCCTCCCATCCCCTCTCCCATCGGACCCAAACCCTCCAGTTGCAGAAATGCCAATGTTTCCAAAAGCAGGCCCTCCGGGGCCCGAGACTCGACTGTCCCTTTTGCCACGATTTATAAATACAGCTTCCTTGGCTCCCAGGGACTGCCAACCTCCAGGGAACAAACTTATTTACAAAGGGGCCAGGTCATGCGGCTTCTTTAGAGGGATCATAAATTAGAAGCACAGAAACACCCCCCCCGCTTCCCGGCCCAAAGTCTGCGGCTGCCAATTCCTTCGAAGGCCTCGCTTCCCCCCCCGCTGACTTCCATCTGGTTTCATCTCTTTTCCTGAAAGCAGAAAGAGGGGGGGGGGTGGTATCAGCAAGATCTGCCTCTGCTCTTCGTTTGCCTTTCATCCTTCCCTTAGGACAGTGTCTCTCAAACTCGAGTCCCCAGCTGCTGTTGGACTACAGCTCCCATTATCGCTGACCACTGGTCTTGCTCACTAGGGATGATGGGAGCTGTAGTTCAACAACAGCTGGAGACCCAAGCTTGAGAAAGACTGCCGTAGGTCATAAGAACACAAGAAGAGCCTGCTGGATCCAGCCAATGGCTCATCTAGACCCATAGCTGTCAACTTTCCCCCCTTTTTAAGGGAAATTCCCTTATTCCGAATAGGATTCCTCGCAAGAAAAGCGAAAAGTTGACAGCTAGGTCTAGACCATCATCCTGTTTTCACAGTGTCCAACCTGATGCCTGTGGGCAGGGGTGTAGTGTGAGGGGGCCCAGGGAGACTGTAACCCTGGGTGCACGACTTGGGGTGGTGCAAACCAGGCACCCCCATGCAGGGATCCCTGTCCCACCCTACCTGCCGCTACCTGTCAGTTTGCATTTCTTAGTGCAGAAAGTATTGATCTGATATGTAGAGATCTTTCCTATTCTACTTAATTCAAGAAGGTTCTGGGAGCTTCTCTGTGTGAAAGAAACAAGCAGAAGGTTCATGATGTTTGGGTCATTCCTTCAGAGAAGCTGAGTACCGCTGGCTTCAATTGGTTCTCTTATCTCTTCTGTCAAGGTCATGCTGACTATAATAGTAAGGCCAGAAGGAGCCTGGCTTCACTCTTTCTATCTCTCTATCCTTCTGGTGTGATGTTCTGTATCTAGTATGCTTAGTGTTAAGGTTTAATTATATTGTAAGTTTAAGTTAAGTCTGCTGCAACTGGATTTCTTATGGACAGGGTCAATCCTGAATGTATTGGATTTGTGACCATTATGCTCATTTGCCTTCAGTAGCAGTAAAGCTCTGCTGGATGAAATATTAATTGCCTCTGGTCTATTTTTTGGGAATCCTGCAACGTGTTTAAGTTTTTACTCTGTTAACTATACATTGGAGTTCTACTCAGCCTAGCCTGGTCTTGTTACCACGTCATCCCTGGGGCCCTTGCTGAATGGCCGCCCTGCGTCGGGGTTGATGCACCCACCAAGGGCTGAGTTGGTCAGCCAGTCTCCACCCTGTATGGGTAAGTGGGCAGACAAGTAGAGCAGTGCAGCCCTGTGGACCTTCTGTGCCCTGTGCCCACCCAGCGGCATCAGCAGCGAAGGCTGGGCTGGCACGGTGGGTTTTCTTCACCCTCTGTGCCCTGCTTCTGGGCACTGGCAAATGATGCAATGCCTCTGCCTACAGGAAGCCCTAGCAGGGCTCTCCCCTCCTGCAGTTACCAGAAACTGCTACTCAGAAGCATTACTAGCTACAACCATGGAGGAAGGACATAGCCATCATGTGGCTAGTAGCCACAGACAGACAATTTGATTCAGGGCAAAGCTAACTGTCTTTTAAAGACATCCATGCTGGTGTCCATCACTGTCTTTGGGGGTCTCGGCACCTGGGCTGGTGCCAGGCCAGTGTCAACCCATCTCCCAGAACTGGCACCCTCCACCCGTCGCCAGGCCAGGTGCCTTAACGCAAAATATTATTTTTAAAACACGCAAAGGATGTGCTGCTAAATCACCTCGCTGCGATCCCCTGTTGTCCGGCTGCGTCCTGACCCATGACCTCTAGATCCTGTTGACCCCTTGGAGGAAGAACTTCCTGTTGTGGAGCAGTTGCTTGACACCTGGCTTCTAGAGAGAAAGCTGGGCTTGCTGTACGGGATGATTTCCTCCTCTGCCAGCACACACACAGAGGGAGAGAGTAGAAACAACAACAGCGAAAGCAGGTGGTTAGTCTTGCAAGCTCTGGCTTCACCCAGACTTGGCTGCCATTTTGCACTCAGCACAGCCTGTGCATTGACAGAAGGGCAGGCAGGTTAAAAGAGGCAGCTTTTGTTTCTGTTCAAAATAACAGCGATCTTACAATAGAAAGGGAGGATTTTATGTCAGGCCGGGTGTCAGAAGCAGGTCAGCAATAACTCACAAGGTGTCAGTGAAGTTAACTCTTTATTCAAGGAAACAAAACAGCTCAGGGCTAGTGAGCACAGCAACCCTTCCCAGTAGGTCTTGCCCTGATGAGGGAGTTGTGAGGACTGAAGGCCCCTGCCTTCCCATAGCTGACTAAGCCTCCTCCCCCTGCCCCGGGTCCTTCCCAAGCAATCTGAGACTCAGTCAATGCGTCTGTCCCCGCCCTCTTCATACCTCTTCTGGTCCTGGGAGACCAGGGAGGAGGGAAGGGGAATTGGTCACAGCAAGAAAGGAAGTAGCCTTCCTGATCTCTGCCTCTGGGTCTCCCTCCTCTCCAGCCTCTGAATCAGGACTGCTCTCTGCCCCAGCCACTTCCTGCTCACAAAACCCTGCTACTGCTTCTGAGCCCTTCTCCCAAGTGTCTCCTTCCTCTCCCTCTGACCACTCACTGCCATCCCACCACCAATCCCCTGGCTCTGAGCCTTCTTCCCTTGGGGGTTCCCCAGTTGGTGCCTCCCACTGCTTCTCTGCATCTAGCCAGACCATAACACTTTATCGAGGCAGAAATTCAACCTAGAGTACAGGAAGCCAGGGAAGCCATTATTACTGGAGTTGGCATTACCATCCCGGTGCTGGTGGTAGTGCTGTCCTGCCACTGTGCGATGGACAGCTCTCCGCTCCAGGGCCGAGGAAGCGTTCAAGTTCTTCTCCAGAGAGGAAGGGTCACAGTCCAGTCGCAGGGCGCCGTCTGGAGCAGCGGTGCCGAGGTCTTCGGCGGGAGGTGGCAAGGGCGGCGGCGGGAGGTCTGTGAGCAGAACCAAGGGGGAAGCACTGTCAGTCTCCACCTTCCCCAAGATTTCCATAGGCACCTGTTGCATGTATTTAAGCTGTACCTTCACAGCCGTAAGAATGGCACCCATTGCTTAAAGACAGGAAATCTGAGAGTCTTACAATGCTGAATCACAACCAGGAGTATTTGTTTCATAATTTTAAAAAAATCAATTTATTTTAAGCAACTGAAACAATACTCCCTTCTGGATTCAGGTAGGTAGCTGTGTTGATCTGACGCAGTAGAAATATATATATAAAATAAAAAAATTGTCCAGTAGCACCTTAGAGACCAACTAAGTTTGTTCTTGGTATGAGTTTCCGTGTGCATGCACATGAAAATTCATTCCAAGAACAAACATAGTTGGTCTCTAAGGTGCTACTGGACAATATATATATATATATACACACACACACACACACACACACACACACACATATATATATCGAATATTCCCTTCTGTTTGTCTCATACTACAGAGAAATATGGGAAACAAGTCTAAAAATCGGATGAAACGGTGAAATCTGCTATGATTAAATGGGCACAAGATGTTGGACATAATATTATGTTTGCTGACTGGGAACAGTTGTGGACCACAGGTATGAAATTTACGGCATGTAATGCCTTAAGAGAAAATATTATGAAAATGATATACAGGTGGTACATAACCCCAGTCAAGCTTGCAAAAATCTATCATGTGCCTGACAATAAATGTTGGAAATGTAAAGAAACTGAAGGTACATTTTTTCACCTTTGGTGGACGTGCCCAAAGATTAAGGCTTTCTGGGAGATGATATATAATGAACTAAAAAAGGTATTTAAATATACCTTCTTGAAGAAACCAGAGGCCTTTCTCTTGGGCATAGTCGGCCAATCGGTGTTAAAAAAGGATAGAACTTTCTTTATGTATCCTACAACAGCAGCAAGAATACTCATTGCAAAGCATTGGAAGACACAAGATTTACCCACACTGGAGGAATGGCAGATGAAATTAATGGACTATATGGAATTGGCAGAAATGACTGGCAGAATCCGTGACCAGGGAGAAGAGTCGGTGGAAGAAGATTGGAAGAAATTTAAAGACTATTTACAGAAATATTGCAAAATTAATGAATGTTAGAATGATGTTGGATTGAAGTTAAGTGGTTTCTAGCTGTATAGGTACAAAAAAAAATGGAAAAATTGGTTCTTAATTTGTAAAAATCTAATGTTACAATATATCAAGATTAAGGATTAGGATTAAAAAGGAGGGAAAGGAATTGTTGGATTAACAAATTGAATTGGAATACAAAAGAGGGAGGTATGAGGAGGTCCGGGAAACAAGTAAACGTAAAAGAAGTGAGGAAAAGATGTAATTGTTTTTAACTGTTTTTTCTTTGTTTTTCTACTTTGTATTTTTCCTTTTTATTGTTAATTTTTTTTTATTAATGTGATTTTTTTTTCCTTTGAAACTTTAATAAATATTATTCTAAAAAAAACCCAAAACAACTCTAAAAATCTATGGAAATAGAGAGGAAATTAAGAGGAAGGAAGGAACCCTAGAAGGATGGAAGCATTGGGCAGCCTCAGGAGCCAGGGCACAGCCACACCTACCTCCCTGCTTCTTCTCTCGACGGTAGTGGCTGGACTTGGATTTCTTCTTGCTTTTTGCTTTCTGTCCTGGAGGGAGAGGCATGTCTGCTAGGCTGGGGTGAAGTTTGCCTGTCGGTAAAAGCCCAATACCAGAGTGAGACTCTTCAGCCAGCGACCTGGTCTGTCCCACCCAGCCTCAGCCCTGCGACATGTGTTCCTGTGGCTCCTAAGGAAGCTCAGAACCATTTCCTGCTAAAAGCAGAAGGGGGCATGACTTAATCGTTCCTTATATTTCTGTCCTACCCTTCCTCCAAGGAGCTCATGGCATGGTTCCAGTCCCTCCCATTTCATCTTCACAGCAACCCTGTGAAGCAGGTCAGGCTTAGAGATGGCCAACCCCTGTGAGCTTCATGGCTAAGAGGGGACAGGAACCCATGTCCTCTTCAGTCTTGCTCTCCACTTGGAGAAGAAGGGATTTCTTATTAAAGAAGGGATGAGGAACTCCCATCATCCCAGATCAATGGCCATATTGGTTGGGGCTGATGGGAGCTGGAGTCCCACAACATCTAAAGGCCTGCGGGTTCCTCATCCCTGTCTTAAAGGAATAAAATGCAAGGGCAATCAGCTCCAGAGATGTTTTGACTATCCCAGCTGCAGTGAATTGGTGCCGAGGGAAAGCCTCTCAAACCCGGCACTGCAAGGCCACGGACTCTCTGGTCAGAGACATCAAGGAGGTGGTCAATCCCTCCATTTCCCTGTGCCTAATACACCACATTGCCCCTCAGAAGAGGGTTGAAGAAGATGCACCCACCTATTCCCGGAGAGTCAACGTTCTCTGCACTGTGCGCCGGCGTCTGGCTCAGGTTGCGCCGATGACCTTGCCTGGGAGTGATGCCTTCGGGTCCCTCTTCAGGCACGTTGAGATTTGGGTTGGACTGGGTCAAAGGAGGACTCGAGGCTTTGGGCAATGGCCCCGAGCCGTTGGGTAACCGCCTTGAACGCAGAAAGCAACACATTAAGCTGAGAGGACAAGCCCCAGTGGGAGCAGATAAGAGGTGGGGAGACCAGCTGGGCATAAACCAGAATTCTGCATCATGCCCCCATTCTGCACCAACAAAAGCTGAATTTTGGTTATCTGAATGATGTCATACTCACTCCCACCATGAGGACCAGAAACCTCCTTTCTTGTTTTTACAAGGCTGAGGTTGTTAAGGATGCCAAATTCTCTGCTCAGTACAAAATTGCACAGTAGGATCTAAGAGTATATGCTGCCCTGGCTTATGTTTCCCACTTCTGTGCTCTAATACCATCCATTCTACAACTTCTCTCTGTTTAGATCACCTTCCTGATCAAATATGTGTGCCCAGGAAGGACAATTAGGCTCCGATATGCACTTTACTCTGCAAGGTGTGGATCGGAACAGTTTGTATCGGAACGGACAAAGAATGAATTTCCCCAAGCACCCCTGTTTTCCCAAGTCCCTGGGTGAATCATACCTGGGCAGGTGTGGGATCTCAAAGTGATGCAGCCTGGGGATATCTTCAGACGCTCTCATCTCCTCCCGGGGTGAGGGGGTCAGCGTGGCTGTGGACTGCTGGCCATAGGAATTTGCAGGAGAGGAGGCTTCTCCACGAGGCGGTGGCGGAGGACATTCCTCTTCCTGGATATTCTCCATCAGGTAGGTCCTTTCTGGCAGGGGTGGGCACCACTCCTCCACCTCTGAACTACAAAAAGTGAGTGAGCTAGACATTTTGGGCTGGGACATGCTGGGCTCCCAATCCCTGAAATCATCCTAAGGAGAACAAGGCTCCATAACATCTAGAGGGGGCATGTAACCATGGGCGTGGAAGCTTTTTTCCAATCTTGGAGCCAGTGACACTAAAGCAAAATGGAAGTTTGTTTGTTCGTTCATTCATTCATTCATTCATTCACCATTCATTCATTGTTTTTGCCCAAGTTGCTCAGAGGTACATTGTTCCTTCTCACCTTACTTTTTACTTTCATAATAACCCTTGGGAATTAGGTTAGGCTGAGCAAATGACTAGGCTGAGCTTGGCCAATGAGCTTCATGCCTAAATGAGGGTTTGAATCCAGACTTCCCCATCCTAGTTTGACGCACTAACTCGGGAATGGGGAACCTGTAACCCTCCAGATCTTGTTGGATCACAACTTCCATTGTCCTTGATTCTTGGCCAATGCGTCTGGGATTGGATTCTAAGGTCTCCCTTCAATGAAGTCAGCAATTGCATTGAAACATCTGTCTGGAACCTAAGTCCAAAAACATCTGGAGGAACCCAGGTTCCCCACCTACCCCTACTCTAACTAAAACACCACACTGGCTGTGAGCCAATATGGTGTTGTGGTTAAGAAAAAAGGAGTGGGTGGTGCTGTGGTCTAAATCACTAAGCCTCTTGATTAGAATCCCCATGATGGGGTGAGCTCCCTTTGCTCTGTCCCAGCTCCTGTCAACCTAGCAGTTCAAAAGCATATCAGTGCAAGTAGATAAATAGGTACCACTGCAGCAGGAAGGTAAATGGCGTTTCCATGCGCTCTGGAACTCGTCATGATATCACATCGCACCAGAAGCAGTTTAGTCATGCTGGCCACATGACCCGGAAAGCTGTCTGTGGACAAATGCCAGCTCCCTCGGCCTCAAAGTGAGATGAGCGCTGCAACCCTATAGTCACCTTTGACTAGACTTAACCCTCCACCTAGTGGTTAAGAGTGTTGGACTAAGACCTGGGAGACCAGAGTTCACATCCCCACTCAGTGATGAAGCTTACTGGGTGACCTTGAACAAGTCACAGTCTCTCAGTCTACCCTGCCTCCCAAGGTTTGTGTAAGGATAAGACGGGAAAGGGAGGAATCATGTATGCCACTTTGAGCTCCTTGAAGGAAAGGTTGGATATATATATTTTAAATATGCTTTGATTGACTTGCTCCAGTTACTAACCTGGCGTCCTAGACCAGCTGCAGTTTCCAAACACTCTTCAAAGGCAGCAGTTTACAGCAGAGCACATTAGAGCACATTATAGGAATGTGCTGGCCTGATACCAGTTGGAGCTCCAACTAATTGTGAACATGTTTCCCAGATCAAAACCAGTTCCATTTCCAAGGGAAACATGGCAGTGAAAGGACATGGTCTCTTCTGCCCTTCTTTTGTTGCTTACCTGACTTCTAGCTCCTCGTCTTCCTCCTCCTCCACATACTGGCTCAGTTCACTGGCAGATGGAGGTGGGGGAAGCACTTCTGTCCAGTTGAGGGATGGTGTTTTCACTGGTTTCCCCATGGACTTCTGTTTCCCAGGCTTAGCAACTACTGAAGAGAAACAGAGCTCAGAGACGGGACCCTCTGGCACAGCAGAGGATGAAATTGCTTTATTTAACAAAAAAAACTCCAACAACTCTCTAGCAGTTAGAATGCCATGCACATTTACTCTACAAATATCTACATTGGCTCCAGGTACATTTCCAAGCACAATTCAAAGTGTTGGTGCTGACCTTTCAAGCCCTAAACGGCCTCGGCCCAGTATACCTGAACGAGCGTCTCCACCTTCATCGTTCAGTCCAAACACTGAGGCCCAGCTCCGAGGACCTTGTGGCGGTTTCCTCCCTGAGATAAGTGAGGTTACAGGGAACCAGGCAGAGGGCCTTCTCAGTGGTGGTGCTTGCCCTGTTGGATGCCCTCCCATCAGATGTCAAGGAAATAAACAACTATCTGATTTTTAGAAGACATCTGAAGGCAGCCCTGTTTAGGGAAGTTTTTAATGTCTGATGTTTTATCATGTTTTTAATATTCTGTTGGAAGCCACCCAGC